TGGAGAAGTCAAGTATATACCTAGACATGAGGAGATGAGAGGAATGGTCCAATTACAGATACAGACTAGTATAAAGTTGATCTCCGGGGCGCCTGGGTGGCTCAGTTGGTTAAGCGACTGCCTTCGGCTCAGGTCACGATCCTGGAGTCCCTGGATCGAGTCCCGCATGGGGCTCCCTGCTCAGCAGGGAGTCTGCTTCTCCCTCTGACCCTCCCCCCCATGTGCTTTCTCTCTTTCTCTCTCTCATATAAATAAATAAAATCTTAAAAAAAATAAAGTTGATCTCCATTATTCAGGGATTCCATATTGGCAAGTTCACCTACTCACTAAAGTTAATTTCTGATCCCAAAATCAGCACTTGAGGTGCTTTCCTCATCACACATGGACGTGCACAGAGATGGGAAAAAATCTGAATTGCCCCACAGGTACAATCCTAGGCAATGCTCTGTCTTCTTTAGATAATAAAATATAAAATAAACATATAAAAAACAGATTACCTCTACCTGGGGAGCTAGGGAAGGCTTTATAGTATAGAGAGCACCATAGCTGGGCCTTCCTTGAAGGATAGGTAGAAACTGTACAGATACAGAAAGACAGGCTTTCTAATGGAACAAAATAATATGAATAAAGAGATACTGCAGTCTAGCTAATGGTAATGCATCTAGGATAATGGGTAAGAGATAAATCTAAGATGGGGTTACATCATGGCCATGTCATAGACTGGATTTTACTCAAATGTGATGAGCAAACTACTGACAAGATGTGAACATGAAAGTCACGATCAGAGCTGGGCTTTAAAAGATTTAACTAGTAGGAGTGGGTAGAAAGGAATGGCAACAAAGAGACAGAAAGCAGGAAAACCAGTTAGGATGTTGTTAGTATAGTTGAAGCAAAAGGTAATAAAGTTCAAAAGTAGGGCAATGGCAATGAAACTGGAACAGAAGTAATAATTACAAAAGATACTGCATACTATTAGAACGATTTATTGGCTGTAGAACGATGGACCTTACAAAATTTTAGTCAGAAGAGGCAAACACAGCCATCATCCACTGTAAAAATAAAAAGGTGGCTCATATGGCTGTTTACCAGGCACGAAGAATGGGAATGAGTTGTATAAATACTTTGGTAGGACATCTTACTACTTTATGCATTCGGTAATTATTTATTGAGTGCCAAGCACTAGGCAAGGTTATACAGCAGCAAACAAAACACTGCTCTATTCAGTGAACTTATTGATACTGATGGCTGCGCTATGGCAAATCTTTATGAGAAGTCCTACACCAATATAAAAACAGCTTTTTCACTAAAATGAATTTTTGCTGAAGTTGATCCTGGGTTATGGGCTTCCAGTTGAAATTCAAAGCAATGATTTTTTGTTAAAGACCAGTTATCTGAGATCTCACATCCATCTAAATCACTGCTCAGATTAAGTCAAGTTAAAAATATTTACTGAGTGCTTAACTGGGGCGCCTGGGTGGCTCAGTCGTTAAGCGTCTGCCTTCAGCTCAGGTCATGATCCCAGGGTCCTGGGATCGAGCCCCGCATCGGGCTCTCTGCTCAGCAGGAAGCCTGCTTCTCCCTCTCCCACTCCCCCTGCTTGTTTCCCTCTCTCGCTGTCTCTTTCTCTGTCAAATAAATAAATAAAATCTTCACAAAAAAAATTTACTGAGTGCTTAATACTCACATTGTCCTAACAATGATTTCTAAAAATGCCAAGAACTAAACCCAGCGAAAAGTGCCACCCCCTCCACTTTTAATAGGGAAATAAACCGCAATTCATACCCTAAAAGACCTATGCCAGGATATTATTAGGGGATAAAAATGAAAATGATATAAACATTTCAAAAAGTGCTTATGGGTAGATATTAAAGAGCTAAATACCACCTACTCTACAGATAAAAATAAGCTACTAGAAACAAATTTTAAAAACTTGAGTTGCAAAATTTGGAATGACTTAAGAGAGAACTAAAAATAATGGGATAAAAAGATGAGAATAAAACATTTAAGTAAACATGTAATATCCTTTTACAAACCCATAGTAGTTTAGTTGATCAGAGGAAGGTATATCCTAAAATGTGTATCAGAATGATGTAGTAACGAAGAGATGGATTGTAAGATTAAACATGACTCCACTTAGAAACCTCTCCTATTCTATGGATCTTATGGTCTTAGACCAGTGAGTCATTTTTAATCTAATAGCAAGGATTTACCAAGGGATCTCGTTAAAAATGCAAATTCCCTGGACTCAGTTCCAGAGATTTTGAATTTGTAAGACCTGTTCTGGTGCTCAGGAATCTATAAATTTTAGTAAGCATTCAAAGTAACTCTATCGCAAGTAGACAGAGATAACATTTTGAGAAATCCTGCAGTATTTTAACTCAGTTAAGATCCTCAATTTATAAACAAGACAAGCTAAACGGAGCAAGGTTAAATGTCTTACTTAAGTTTAGTCCCCATTCCTGAGAGGCTGACAGTTAAGTCTTCCTCTACTGGGCCTTTTCTGTTGCTTCAGTCTCTTCCACTACCTTGCTCCTACCCACATTCAAAGCCAGATTGTGTGATAAGGCCGTTCACAGCCTCCTGGGCCCACACTGGGTGTGCGATGTTAATTTTTTTGTGTGTGTGTGTATCTTCTTCCACAACGGGAATAAAAAGCTCCCTGGGGAGCAACTGAGCTTTACTTTTGCATCCCCTTCACAATGAGACATATGAATACTGTATTCCTTTTTACTGCCTTCAATTTGCAAGCAGTATGCTGCTTTTCTCCAAGTAAATACTTAGCACAGTACAAAGCATTTGAGTACTACACAAATGGGTGCTTTTACTTTTCAGTCCCATAAAGCAGTATTTTTCTGAGGGTCATGCCTCACAGTGAAATGTGAAGCCAATCTGATGGGTCACAAATATCATTAAAGAAAAACAGAATGGTTTGATATGTGGGTGGGGGGAGAGTAGGGGCAGGGACTGTAATGTAAAATGTGTTTCTTACTATAAGTTGCAGTCAAAAAAGTTTGAAAGCTAGAATTTTGTTAATGTTGACAAACTTTTCCAACACTTCTATACCATGAAGTAGGCAAAGATATTTTCTCACCCAATTAACATTCGACCATTTGATTAGTCGTCCCATTCTCCACTCCCCAAAGCTTAATATTAGATTTATTTATTCACTGCCCCATTCCTTAACTAAAATGAAAAAGAGAAGCAGTAAGTCCAAAGTCTGATGGGTATTTTTCACAGTACAAGTTTCATAGAAGTCTGTTCCTTCTTCCGATAGAGGTCATCTGAGTGTTATGATGCACTTCAGATGGGCTCCTGGAGCACCCATCTCTGGACTCAAGTCTATCTGAAATTCTAGACATCCTAAACAGCGCTTTGAAATGTTCACGACCTGCTTCATCCACATAGGGTTTAGGCTAATGTATGTGATTTTTGCAAGATCACCTTCTTTGCTTATTTTGGAACCAAGTTCTCTATGTCCACCATAACATTACTTTCTGGTAACCTTTGATGTGCTCGACAAATTTAATTATATACGTTCCAAATCAGTTCTATTTCCTCTTCTAACTTAAGGTAGAATTCATACTGACAAAGTTGTACCTTTTCTAGATTTTGCATATATCTTACATCCTCTTAATCAGCAGACAAAATGTGATCACTTATCTAGGCCTAATAATGCACTAACTGTGACCTGTCACTTCTCTAATACTGACTTATTCTTTGTACTGGTATCAACAATACTCTCATTGCTTTAGTTTGAGCTCAAATCCCACTTCTTCCAATAACTTTCCTAAATTCCTTCAACGTAATTAGTCTCCCACCTTCCAGACCTCATTAACACCACTTGTGCTCCTATAGCACCTGTCTATGCACTACAGGCATTATTTATGAATCTGTCTCCTACACTAGTCTCCAGGATTGACTCTAACTCCTATGTGTATACCTCCCATTGCCCAACACAGACCAGAGTGCATATCACAAAGTATGGCCTTGGTTACATTTACTTTATTGTACTGAAACGTAAAGAGCTTAATTCAGTGTATATAACAACGCGCTAAGAACGGTTTCTAATTCTCCACATCCTCCAAACTCTGCTCAACTGTAAAGTATTTTAAAAAACAAAACTATGAAAGATACAATGGGAAAACGGCAATAAAGAAAATACAAATGAAACAGAAAGGCATGATAAAATGGATGTGATGCTCTCTGCATTTCCACACGTGGTCCGGTAGGTAAATCGGTGCCTAAATCTCTCTTTCGGACTGCACCATTCTGCTCTGTCATCCCCTTTTACTCTATTTCAAAACCTCGCACACCGCTCAACTTGCCTTAGGTGTCTCTCATGGGGCCCTGTACCCCAGAGTAAATTAGGCAACCGACTCCCTCTTGCCTTGCTCCGGTTCAGGCCTCTATTGGCCACATTCACAAGAATAAGAGTGGGCAACCATTTCCCTTAAACAGTCTAACTAAAATGGAAGCGCGTCTAGACCTGGGTACCTTTAATCCTCTGTAAGCCCCAGATTTTTTAGGTCATCGTATTTCCTCCACTGACTACCGTCTCAATGTGACTTGAAGTAGACATCTGTCTTCCAGTCACTGTCTTTCCACAACTTCCCAACACCACCTTAAGGTCCCATTACTCTGCACACATACAGCCTACCCGGTAGGCCTCAAGAAGGGTTGGTACGTAATTCCGGCGGTCAAGGTTCCCGAAAACGGCTTGACCTCTGGACGCTTTGAGTTAAACGTACCCCATGCCGTCTAACTTCCTTCCTTGAAGCTAGTCTTTCCCACCCGTCTTAACACTTCCCGAGTTTCCACGACTCCCCAGTAACGCGTCCACCGATCACCTCCTCCACCTGAAGAGATCGGAGTCCCAGCTCTTGACTAACCTCACTTTTCCTTCTCCCGGCTCGGGCGGCTGGGGCTCGGCCTCCCGCTCTCTCGAGGGTTTCCACGCCGGCCCCTGGCCCCTATTCTACCGCCGCTCCACCCCTACTCACTTTGGGCTTCTCGGGCAACTTCTTCCGGTTTTTCTTCTTCTGTTCCTCGCTCCTAAGATTCTTCAATAGGGCTAGATCGTCAGGGGCCGGGGCCGGCACCGCCGCCGCCTCCTCCCGCTTGCGGGGCGGGCTCCTCCGCTTTTTTCGGGCGCCGGCGCAAGCCGCGGCCCAGCCGTAGCAGAGCAGGAGAAGCAGCAGCAGCCCCAGCGCGCCGGTGCCCACCAGGATTACCCAGCCCGGGTACCGCTTCGGCTCCAGCCCCAGGTCGAGGCCCAGCTCGGTGCGCAGAAAGCCTAGGCCAACCGAAAGCATTTCCCGCAGCCGAGCCGAGCCCTCCTCGGCCTGCCGGGCCAGCTCGTCCTGCCAGCTCTGTGCAGCCATCTTCCCTCCGTCAGCGAGACTCGCAGGATGACGCTGGGGCGCACAGACGCTGTGTAAGAGTCAAGGGAGGCGAAGAAGGGCCGGGCCGGACTGTCTCAGGCGGAGCGCATCGCGGCCGCCCCTCGCGCCGGAGCCGGGGATCGGCAGCTGCCGCCGCCAGGAGAGGGGGCTCCCAGTTCCCCCTAGCCAGCCTCACTCCGCCGCCGCCAGAAGGAGGGGGGCGGCGGGAGGAAGTGTCTCCAGTGGCGGCCGCTAAGCGGCGTCTCGGCGCCAGTGCCAGGCCCCGCCGTCGTCCCTTGGCGGAACAATGGCGGCTCGGGCCGCGATCCACGCCGCGCGCGGGGATGGCCGCGGGTCACGTGGGCGCCATGGGCGGGTCGTGGGTGTCACGTGGGCAGGGGCGGGGCAGGAGCCGTTGGGTCGAGGGCGCGGCTCCTGCGGTTGGCGGTGACCGGTTCTGGCCCTAGTGGAGGCTCGGAGCCTTTGGATCGCAGACCTTGGGCGGGCGTCTGGGAGGGGTTAACTGCAGGAAGCCTCCGCCGGGTAGCTGGTCCCCTGGCGCTAGGAGACGTGGCGCTTTGAATGAGTCCAGGGGAGGGGCTTTGGAGGAAGTCGGGGGTGGGGGGAGAGGGTGAAGAGCGTGACAGCGGGTCGGGGGCGTCTAGGTCAAAGTCGCCCTAGTAGGTGTAGGTTTTCTCCATTCTTTTTCCGGGAGTGGTGTTGGGGTGGAATCAGCATTTTCTCCCTGGGTCACAGGGCTGGATTCTTCCAGAGTGGGCTTAACTGAGTATGAAGCCAGACGTTCCTCCTCCAAGCTCTAGGTTTCATTCACAAACTGGCTCTTCTTTCTCTTCAGGGCCAACTAACATACCGCGTGCCTATCTTTCGCTGGCCTGGCTTGGGCGGTTCGCATCAATTTCGCTCATTCACTCTTGCTCTGGGTGTTCCCCAGAATTCAAAACTTGAAAAGCCCGTGGGCGGCACTATTTTCCTACTAATTTGTAGCTTTAATGAGAAATAACAAGAGAAGCACGTTGGACTGTGTATATGCGTAGAGGTAGCTTCCTCCTTGTGTTTTATTTTAAGCTTTCATACAAGACCACAAAAGGAGTTTGAAAAAAGTCTATTTTTAGAATCTGTGTTGACCATCTCTGGGTAGAGTTAGGAAGAAATGAATTGCCCTTTCATATTTTAATTACAAAAATGATGGTTTGCGGCGTGCCTTGCGGTTTCTTTCCACTTTGCTACAAGGAAGCTGTTTAATCATTAAATAATAGAATGTAAGCAAGTGTCTTAGTGGATTAAATATTGTTGACCCTTGAACAACTCAGGGGTTAGGGGCACTGACTCCTGGACAGTGGAATATAACTTTTGACTTCCCCAAAACTTTAGTAGCCTACTGTTGTCTGGAAGCCTTACCAAGAACACGAACAATCACCTAACATATTTTTGTATGTTATATGTATTATGTACTATATTCTTATAATAAACCAGAGAAAAAATATTAAATTCTGAAGGAAAGTACATTTACAGTATTGTACTGTGTCTGTTGAAAGAAATTTACGTGTAAGTGGGCCTAGGCAGTTCAAACGTCTGTTTTTCAAGGGTCAATTGTACAGACTTTCTCAAAGAATAGAAAAGGGGGTAAGATCAATAAGCACCTAATGCCAAATATCTATTAAGGAGTATTTTGACCTACTTTGTGATTAATGGGTGGAAGGGAGTTTTGTAAATAAATGGTAAAAATGAAAGACTACTCTTGCTAAGCTTTATATGGACTTATAATTAAAGACAATGTAAGTTACAAGGCCAAAAACTTAGATGATGACATTGGGATCTGCTTTAACCCTAAAAGTTTCCAAATTCCATTTATATTTATGAAACTAGATTTATAATTCCACATTTTAACATTTTGTTTCCAGAGATGGGAAAGATGATGACTTTCTTAAGAAGTTCAAATGCCCATTCTAGGTTAACACCTGTGGATTTATGAATTAAGCTATTATACGGTAATAGTAGCAGGATGTGCCTGTTCCTTTGGCAGCCTAGCAAGTGTTGATTATGTAAAATAATTTCACTTTTTTGTGACTGTCCCTAAAAATGCCTTTTTAAAAAACCTTAGATAAAAAATATATTTAGTAATACAAATATCATTTTTCATATATAACTGTATAGTCATGCAAGTATTTATATTCTAAAAAGAGAAATAAGGTCATACGCTATTTACTGTTTTGCACTTTATGTGGTCATGAGCATTCATGTTCATTGAGAAAGTCCATCTGAACACCGGGAACACACCTGTGGTGCCACAAATTTGGGTTTATTAACTTATGGCAGAATGAAGTTTAGGTAAAGCATGAAGCAATGCTTTGAAAGACTCTAAGCAAAGCAGGCTGTTTGTAAAGGAGTAACCAGTCCTGGCCCAAGTAGATTCAGAATCCTAATTCCTGAGAAGTGGCAAAATTAAGATGAATGTGAAATGTTTCTGAAACCTCTTACCTGAAACATGTGGGTTGGAACTAAAGACTGCTTTTTCTAAGTATCAAAATGACTCATACAATGGAATACCACTCAGAAAGAAAAAGGAATGAATTATAAATACATGCAGCAACATAGATGAATCTCAACATAATTATGCTGAGTGAAAGAAGCCAGGCCCCCCCCCCAAAAAGTACATACTACAGTATGATTACATTTATATAAACTAGAAAATGCAAACTATAGTGACAGCAAATCAAGAGTTACTTGGGGGAAGGTGGTGGGAGCAAGAAGTGGGAGGGAGGGATTACAGAGGGGTACCAGGAAATTTCAGGGACTCATAAATAAGTTCATTATCTTCATTGTCGTGATGGTTTTATGGGTATAGATGTATCCGAAAACTTACCAAGTTGTATACTTCAAATATTATAGTTTAAGTTGCTACACCTCAATAAAGCAGTTCAAAGACAATTTTAAAAAGTGACCTGCATGGCTCAGACTCTTATAAGAGTGGGAAGTTCCATGCTTAGGGGGTTTCTTTTGTTTTCTTTTTTAAGACTTTATTTATTTGAGAGAGAGAGAACACAAGTGGGGGGAGGGGCAGAGGGAGAGAGAGAAGCAGGCTCCCTGCTGCGCCGGGAGCCCCACATGGGGCTTGATCCCAGGACCCTGGGATGATGACCTGAGCTGAAGGCAGACACTTAACCAACTGAGCTACCCAGGCGCCCCACTGAGGGGATTTCTAACAAAATTTTTGCCAATCTATGATTTTAAAAAACAAGTTTTCTCAATACTATATCCTTGATGTTTTTTTTTTTTTTTTTTAAGTAGGCTCCATGGCAAGTATGGAGCCCAATTCAGGGCTTGAACTCACAACCCTGAGATCAAGACCTGAGCTGAAATGTCCACAATAGCCAAACTATGGAAAGAGCCAAGATGTCCCTCAACAGATGAATGGATAAAAAAGATGTGGTGTATATATATATACAATGGAACATTATGCAGCCATCAATAAAACCGAAATCCTGCCACTTGCAATGACGTGGATGGAACTAGAGGGTATTATGCTAAGTGAAATAAGTCAATCAGAGAAAGACAATTATCATATGATCTCTCTCAATATAAGGAATTTTAGAAAATAAGGCAGGATCATAGGGGAAGGGAGGGAAAAATGAAACAAGATGAAACCAGAGAGGGAGACAAACCGTAAGAGACTCTTAATCTCAGGAAACAAACTGAGGGTTGCTGGAGGGGAGGGGGGTGGGGGGGATGGAGTGGCTGTGATGGACATTGGGGAGGGTATGTACTATGGTGAGTGCTGTGAATTGTGTAAGACTGATGAATCACAGACCTGTACCCCTGAAACCATACGTTATATGTTAATTTAAAAAAAAGACCTGAGCTGAGATCAAGAGTCAGATGCTTAACTGACTGAGCCACCCAGGAGCCCCTATCCTTGATGTTTATTAACAAAAGCAGTTTCTATAGGTTTACACAATAAATATTCACTTATTCTATTGTCTGGCTCTACTGTAATTTAACATACTTTTATTGTTGGTTAGACTTACAGGGTTTATTGTTTGTTTTTGTTTTTTTGCTTTTGGTTGCAATTCTGGCATGAATATGCTTATAACTAAATCTTTGTGACTATCCATAATTACTTCTTAAGGATATAATCCTGGCAGAGCAATTGCCTGAGTCATAGCCCACAATATGTAATCCAACCCTTTTAATTAGGAAGTTCTAAGGGGCCCGAAGAAGTTCTACTTAAGTCTCTCATTTCATAGAGGAGAAAAAGAAGGCTTCAAAGGGTTGTCATACCCTTGAGTCAGAGTGGCCAGGCTCAGAGTAGAATGCAGTCTTCTCATTGCTTTGACTCCTTGGTTGCTCTTCCTTTTCAGTATACTGTGTGATCGGTTCTTGGGATTAGAATGTGTATTTGTCTGCTCAGGCTGCCATAATCAAACTCCATAGACTAGGGAGCTAAAACAAAAGATTTATTTTCTCACAGGCCTGGAGGCTGGAAATCCAGGATCAAGGTGTCATCATGGTCAGTTTCTGGTAAGGACTCTCTTCCTGGCTTGCAGATGGTCACCTTCCTGCTGTGTCCCAAGAGGTGGATAAAAAGCCGGTGAACTCTCTCTTGTCTCATAAGGATACTAATCCTATCAGATCAGAGCCCTAGGCTATAACTTCATTTAACCTTAATTATTTTCTTAAAGGCCCTATCTCCAATTACCGTCACATTGGAGGTTAGGGCTTCAACATATGAATTTGAAGGGGGGACATAAACCTTCAGTCCATAACGGTGCAGGAAACTTCCACTCAAGTAACTTATCTTTGAGGGCTGATGAAAGGAAGATGTAGACTTGGGTCTTCAAAATGTAGACTATTACCATTATACACTCCTGGGCCACAGGATTATATACCTAGGAGAGTGAACTATGGTTAGGAAAGGGTTATCCTCGGAATAAATTAGAAGAATTAGTAAATAATGAAATTATCTGCCGAAGTGTCCTAAGCTGAAAGATAATTTATAAATGTGTTGCTGAAAGGGCTAGGATATTTCTAAGTCTCTTTAAAAAGATCAGAGGATATGCTAAGAACGTGTAGGAAAGTAAAAACTGGTTCGGGCCTGAATGGAGTGGCCAGGGAAAACAGAGAAGACTGAATGTAGTAACAAAAGCCAAAGATTCACTCAGTGGAAGCTGTGCCACAAGAAACATAGCAAAGGAAATTTACATTCTGACATCATGTATATAAAGTTTAAAAAGCAGTTTTATAAATAAAAATGTAAAACCATGCAGGGGAATAATGAACACCAAATTCAGGATAGTGGTTATTCCTAGGGAGGGTGAGAGAGA